CTTGACCTGTTTCAAATTAATATGAAAAATAAACGAAAATTTATATATTTAATACTCAGTTCAGGCATTAAAACGTGTATTTAATTAGGTTCGGGTTTAATAGCATTTATATAATTTCCTCAATAAATATTGGACATCGTTAAAAATAATAAAATCAAAAACGTATGATAACGCTTATTTTACTTTCATGGTAGGTATCTACTAAAGAAAATATTTTAAATATTAAGTGCACAATTTTACCTTTAATATATACCTAATCTTAGAGGCACATAAAAATGGAAATATGACATCAAAGTCGATAAATTTGCTCAATAGCCATTAAATGACATTGTGGGGTGCGAAAATATGGAAGTGGGGAGAGATTTTTGATTTAGCGTCTTCTAAGAAAAAAATATGGATGTGACACAAGAGTTGTCCCATATGTTAAAATAATTATTCTATCATAAAATTCATATTTGTACTATAATATTCACATTTACCATATTAAGAATATATTGCGTTACAAGACTGTATTATAAACTGAATATATCAACATTTTAAATAAAGTACAAACTTTCTATCTACCAACAATATTTCATTCTATTACCAATGACATTAAAAAGATTGTAAATATTTATCTTTTTCAGTATAGCGTGAGCACTTCTTTCCTGTGTTCAGAGTGGCACTCGAATGACAAGACCCACGAAGGGGACATAAATTGTGGACATTTCTAGCAACACTTAACTTTAGATCTTTACCGGACAACGTCGCAGCTGGCAACTATCCGAGCGGAAGCAACTATACATAGCCGGCCTAACGAAATAGAAAATACCATTATTCTTTCGCCCGAGACAAGGAGGCGTTCAAGTACTATTATTTACTACTAGATTTGTTTATCTTCCTGATGCTATAAAATAGTGTCAAGCGCAAGAGTTTAGTACAATCTTTAAATAGAAAACAAAACTTTAAAAATATTACCGTAGATTTATTTACGTACCTATACTCCCTTTTTATAATGAAACTAAATTTTTAAGACTTAAAGATTTGAGAAAGATATGTAATTGTTTATTGTCCTAAAGATTTTCTTCTGCTTTAATAAAAAAATATCTTAAGAAAACACTATAAAAATTACAAATTGATTTTGTCTGTGACATAATATATATTAATTAAATAATCAGCACATACCTAATATGTATATTACAAAAAAGCGTATACTATATTTTGATACAAAATAAATTGAATATATTATCAATTTAAAATTTCAATTTATTTGGTGAAGATCTTTTGACGATAACTGAAAAAGGCAATATCTTGATTCCAATTTATTGGGTGAGGAAAATGAAAAAATCTGTAAGTAAGATATTTCGGATCCAGATGCTCGTTTCGTTGGTCGGCAGCGATCTTGGGACATTCAAATTGATGGTAAGGGTACGTTTCACCATTAGAGGGGGTCTTATTAATTCCCCTTTCGACAGGCCGACCGAGAAAGCCATAAATTCACCTCAACCAAAGGGATGACCAATTTCAGAACATTTACGAGCCACAAATTACGCGACCGCTGAAATATACTGGGCCAAGGATGTTAAAGAACGAAGGGCAAGCCAGAGCTGAAAAACCCCAAATGTTAATTTAATGTTAAGAGCTACAAAATTGCTTTAGTACTCCAGATAGGAGAAATGCGAATGCCATCCGCGAAAAGGTCCAGATACTAATTTTATGCAGGGTAAATGAGTCGAGGACAAGCCGACGGTGAATCGATATTCATTTGAGTAAACGTACATTTATTTAAGCTGAAAACGATAACATGTAAATGAAGGGTCTACGAAAATTTACACCATTTAATTTAAACGTTAGAATAACGTATTTTAACGATGTCTCTTTTAATTTAAAAAAAGTGGGTGGGTGGGTGGTCGTAGTTAAACAATAAGCTGTTACGAAAATAACATTTCCTTATACTTTTCTACTCGATATGCAAAATAAGAAACAAAACATTGGGCAAGTTTGCGATTTTAATGGTTGTTTTATTTGTTCCCGTCAATATATCTAAGGCGAGTCGGTAACGTTGTGCGAGCTAACTATTTTATCACTTTATTGCATGAGATCGCATAAACTTCCGAAGGCAGTGGCAATAAAACGTTACAATAGGGATAATTTTATATTACGCTGCCTACGTAAGGTCAGGCGTAACGATATAATTTACTATTTTCTAGACATAAAATAACAAAAAAAAGACTAAGAGAAATGACTTTAACTAACTGTCATGTAAATATAAAACGAAAATAACTTATAAAAGAATAAAATATTTCTATGTCAATGGTTTTTTGGAAAAAACTGAAAATATTTTGGTGTATTTCGTATTTAAATGAATACTTTTTATCTATTACAATTATTAAAAAATATAATCACTGAAATACAAAAAAAAAATATTTCAATTAATACGCCAAGTGGTCGAAATTTAACCATAATAATTAATGAAAATTTGGAGAAAACGTATTCAAATAAATTTACCTATCTATATAAAAAACTATCTTATACTATATGTGCAAATCATTTCTGACATGATTTCTACTTGCCTTACGGTGAAGGAAAACACCGTGAGGAAACCTGCATGAGTGAGAGAATCTAGCAAGTTTTCGAAAGACATGTGAAGTCCGCCAACCCGCACTTGGCCAGCGTGGTGGACTATGGCCTGATCCCCATCGTATTGAAGGGAGGCCCGTGTCCAGCTATGGGATGTTAAATAGAGCTGAATACATACATACATCAAAAACTAACTGTTTTCAACATTTTTTTATTAATAGCACTAAAACTCGTCAGTAGCTACTAAACAAAAAAAAGGAAATTGACTAACAGGAAAGAAAAAGGTACTAAACGTGTTTTATCTTTGCCTATTTATATATAGATAACATATCATTAGTTGGCTTTTTCAACATACGATAGTCTACTTAGAAGCCATCAAGTTTGCTAATTAGAAAATGATTTCTGCTCAAATAGTGGTTTTATTAAAGCTTACTCAGGCTTTATTTAGGTTTTATAACACAAACAATAACACTAGGTATCTTAGGGGTTTGTTTACTTTATTAAGTGCCTATTCAATTATTCATAGCTTAAACTTAATTGATATTATGATACGTTTTTATTAGGAATAATTTTCGAAAATACGATCTCGTATGTAACTATTACATAATCTGTGCTTATGTACTAATAAATGTACACAAAAAAATTCTTGTTGTATTGTATTTCTCATTATTTTAAATAGAGGCCTTAGACCGAGACTAAACGTTTTTTTTTTTAAAAAATCTATCAATTTTTTTTTTAAATCTTTCAAAAAAAACTGCGTGAGTATGACAAACCATCAAACACTTTTTCACATTTATTGCATTAGTAAGGATTCAGACCAATAAAATAGCCCTTAAGATGTTCACTCAAACCGTACATGAAACGAAGCAAAGTAAAAATAAGTATTGGGGTCGTAACACGACCTTCTCATAAAAAAATCTACGTAACCTAAGGATATTTCTTCACTCTATAAACAGAAAATTTATTGGACCATTAGAAACACCGTTTTATTATAATATCTGTATAATGTATAGCTTTTAATGCGAAATACCACTGTTAACGTTACCATTTGTCATAATACGAAATCTCAGTCCACAATATACGTATACAGACTACAATTAGTACTGAAATAATATATTTTCGTAAGTTTTTATGATAACTACTCGTATTAGTAATTATATTTAATAGCTAAAAGCTACTGTACACGATTTCTTACTCTCATTAAACTCCTAATCATTTTCATATTCCTAATCCCCGTATCATTTTATAGGGCTGTATAAAAAGGGTATCAAGCTGTACTTTTGGATCTATTAATTAAGCCGATTAAAATTAAACTTTGTTAAGTTTTAATTTTGTTCGATTTTAGCAGTAACAAAGCAAGTTCTTTTTCGAGTAATACAGTAAGTAGTAGTAGTAAGTAATACGTAAGCAGACAGACATTTACAAAAATGGGCACCGAATACCGAATTTGTAATGAAAAATCAGTATAAGAAAATGGTATATTTTTAAAAATAAAAGAAAAATATGTGTAATCTCAAGGAATAACAATAGTTTTAGTAAATTTGATAATTTGTTTGTTGATTTATTGAGACAATTTGCTAACATTTTTATTTCTAATTTCAATAATTTACCACTGAGGACTGATAGCGAATGTTTTTGTAATAAAAATTATCAACATAAAAATTACTTCCGTAGATTCACTTTCTCATATTAAATGAAATCAAACTATATACATACATATGTATATTATAAATCTTTTTTTAATAAAAGTTATACAGAGAACATGACAATGAAACAAAAGGACGGGAAACGTGAGTACAGTAAGTGCGCTTTATTATATTGGGTACAAATTTAATCAGAAGTAAAAATATACGAAGAAAAAATAAAAGAATCGTTGGCACATAATGAAACATTCAGACCTCGCTATAAGAATTTTTTTTTGGAAGCAATTGTTTAATTCAATTGCTTTGTTTGTGAACAATATACTTGTCGATAAGCACGTTTATATTGTAGCTTATTTAACGGTCGCTCGAATAGGAAAAGTTTCAGGCTAGTCATCTGATCAAAGTTCTGACCACGACTTCAAAACAATCAAGACGTTCAGGGATACAAATTGGATTAAGAGAATTGGATTAGTAGTTAGTGACTTAAAAGACAGATTGTCTTCCCAAAGAAGTTACGAGTGTGAGCTGCTATACTCGCAACCTTGGACCAGATAAGCATACAAAGATCAAGAATGAGCTCAAAATTTTACATAACAAGGGCTATATACGAATATGAAGCAATATCTATTTTATCCGACCGCTCTTAAAGCTCCGAACAAAAACCCTTCAATCTCGAACTCTCCCGAATACGATCTCTCATAACTTTGCGATACTTTACCTTTTTCATGCTTATAATATACGAGTTTAATGTACATTTTCTTTCAATTTAAACAGTAATGGCAAAATAGGACTTCTTACCTTAGAATAAGGTTCCTCTTGTCGAGTATCCTTCAAAAAGTCGAAAAATATGCAGAGGGGTACCACCATAATAGCTGGTTCTTTTGAAAGTGTGGCTGCGGTTGCAAATAGAAGTGTCCCTGCTAACGTGCACCATTGTAATAGTTCACCAGAATCTTCACTTACACTACCATTGCACTGACACTGATTAAGTTTCACTGCGCCTGTGTCTACCTCACAAGCATTTAACATTTTTAAAGGTCCTGCTTTACCCGCTTTTAGTAGTCTTCGAACGTTTATCATAATTTGTTGTACTAAATCATGGCAACTCAATCGAAAATTTTGGTCGCTTGTTGTTAATTGATGACGTAATATTTTGCTTTTAATAACATGACGGCATTGTCTCTTCTGGCTCTCTATTCGTAGCCGTACATGTTCACTGTAGAGCAAAAAGCTAAGGAGAAAGAAGTTGCAAGCTGCTAAATCGGCTCTTCCAACCACACCAGCAACAGCTTCTGTATGTATAGGATGGGCTGCAAAACTTAAACCGGCCACTGCAGTACCGACTCTAATACAATGTGGCGGTAATAACCGTCGTGCAGTCGTTACTACTAAAGCTGTAGCTATAGAATGGAGGAGGATGTTGAGAAAGTGATAACTCCATGGTTTGAATCCACTAAAGATGTAATTTAAGCGATATGTGGCAACACATAAAGGTCGATATGAGCCATGTGAACCGGGGTCGGTAAGCCTCGTTCCCCAAAAATCATTTTCGAATAATGCCTTTATCGGCGTGTGCCCGATGACATCTGGGTTGGAGAGTATCGCCCGCCTGTGAAATAAAAATATTTTTTTATAAAAAACAGTCTTTTATAGTCAAAAAAGTGGTAAATATAAATTGTTCATGAAGAATAATAGCAAATATATTATAATATAAAGTTTATGCGTATTATATACGATATAAAGGTGTCCTTATCTTGATCACTTTAAAAATGATCGATATTATGAAATTGTAATATGGTCACTGATGTGTTTATTTTTTTTATTTAGATGTTTGAATGAAAGTCACTTTAAATGTAATAAGACTGAAATTCATTTCTTTGATTATTTTATCTATCTTACTGTTATTGTGTTTGAATGTAGTACATAGTACATACATGAATCGTACAGTTTTTAATAGGCAGAAAGAGACGAATTCTAAAATGAAGCTTGATGTTTATTTATTTTTAGTGTTTTGTTTTGAATATACACACAAAAGTACGATTTTATTCGATTGCATTCAAAGAAATACCTTAAGCATCCGGTACTATGCGGTCACATCTCAAAAGTAGTCACTTTTAGTGGATGCGATCAATATCAAAATCTATACACGAGCGATACCGCAGGTGTAAGCAATATAATGTAATAGCTTAAGCTACTTTATACCCCTCGCGTGGTAGAAGACAGAAGTGATAGATACAACGTTTTATACAACTCATTTGTTCCCCATTTTTGTTGATTTTATATTTCGCAGTCACATGCAAATAAGTTTACTAACTAATGTTTGTAATATATGCTCGTATATATATGAAGAAATTTCTTATTATAAAGGTGTATCTTTCTATTCTAGAGAATCATTACTTAACAATTCTGAACACAGTCCACCACACATAAAGGTTAATTAACGTAATTAAAATTTAATGGAGAGTGACATAGGAGATTAAAACATTCAGCTAGGATAGTTAGGCCGTTGATCGGAGTTACATAGATTATTCATACCTACTATTTTACTACATATGTATATATTAGCCGACACATTTGGCTCAGTTTGTAGTACCCTACTTACTGTGCCAGGAATCGCGGGTTCAAGTCCCGCTGGGGGCATTCATTTGAGTGATGAGCACGAATGTTTGTACTCCAGTCATGGATGTATATATTTATAATATGTATATATTTAAAGTTATAAACATATGTGTAGTGTATTAACTATCTGGTCTATGGTCTATCATGGAACTAGATGGTGTTGTGTGTTAATGTCCAAAATCACAGATTCGTACTACCCGTGCAAGTAGTAGTAATTTAGTCAACCTGTTAGAAATGCTTATTCGATTATATTTCCTATTCCATTATTAATTGTATATCCGAGACTATTCGTCGTAATATCTTATTTGTGTATATCTTCATCTATAGGTAAAAAAATTATTCAATATTAAATTCCACAAAGCAACTTTCTTAATATAATTCATATCTTTCCAAGATCATATCAACTGGCAAGTTAAATTTCGCCCATGATTTTGAACGTTTTGAAGTTACTTTTTAAAGCATTTGAACAAAATTTCTATTTTTCCTTATCCAGGTGAAATAATCTAAGTACTCAAAAATAACCAAAGTTTTGAAAAGCTTAACCTTAGCAGCTTTAAAGAAATACCCATTGCTACTAAAAGCGCTGCATTTAAAACAATAATATTGGAAAAAAACCGGCTGTAATATTCTAATGGAATTTCTCTGCGTCACCGGCTTGAATCAGAAACAACCAATTGGTGAGGCACTTGTAAGAATATCTTATTTGAATCCTCATATTCTTGCTGGGCCTGTTACAAAAGTGTGGAGGAAAAAGTCGGATAACGTCCTACCGATATTTTGCTAAGGTCGTTGAAGACTTTTAAAACTTTATAATCTTAAACTTTTATAACGAGTGAAATGAATTCACTTATTAGAGTTCAGAAGGCCTAATTTTTATTTCACACATAACTATAAGTTGTATGCCTTAACACATAAATAACTTAACACATGACTAACTATAAGTTTTGTCCTTTTTATAGTGTTTTTAATTTGTAGTATACATTTTTTCGTTATTTTTTTTTTATTTTATATTTATTCCCTCCACGACCGCGGACACGCCGGCGTTCCAGTTAACAATAGATTTCTTAGAAATTTAATTAATTTCTTAGAAAACCTGAAAGTGATAAATAACACCTAGTTTAAACTATTATCATGTTTACTCTACCTGTGACATATTTACAAGTGGAAACTTTGCCGGTGTGTGAATGTTTTAGTTTGTAATTATTTTTATGGATTATTCCACTGTTTGTTTTCCTAAAATAAATAAATGAATGAATGAATGAATGAATAAATAAATAAATAAATAAATGCCTTGCGAGGTAGTCAGAATAGAATGCAGGAGACAGAAGTGACCGGCAGCGGTACGTCTTTACCGCTTACAACTTACACCACATCATTCTGTTATCCACTCGTTTTAGTAAATTACATATAGGTATATCATACTTACAATCAGTCTTAACTTTTTATGTTAGTTCCATTATAATTATTTTTGTTTATTTCACTGCTTTTATTGCCTTAAAACTACTGCTCAATCTAAAATATATATTTATTACTTCTGTAAATAACATAAATAATAGTGAAATAAAATTTTCTACTTAAAAAGTTTACCGTCAAAGCTAAAGAATTCAAAATTATTTTCAAGTTAGATTACGATTTTCGAGAAAGTTTAATCATGATTGCCTTTGAAATACTGGAACGACGTTATTAAAGCAATTCTTTTAAAGGTAAAAGTACTAACTAACATTCATTAAATGGACAAATCAAAAACAAATCTAAATCTGTTTATCGATTACAAAGACGACGGTACTACGATTTACGCGTATAATAATTTTATATATATAATGTTTATTCAATTTCTCTTAGAAATGACCAATCAGTGTATTTTAAATTGTATTCTCTTACGTTATACTATGGGATAATCTTCAAATGTTATTTCGTTTTTTATATTTATTTATTTACTTATTTAATTGGGAAATATACAGCGTATAGTTAATAAAATTTAGTTATACATTTCTAAACAAAAATCTTAAGCCAATAAAGTTTCCACTAAAAACATAAACGGAGTGAACTTAAAATTAGCAACAATAAATCGAACAAAAAGCAAGAATACTAAACATTAACACAATTTAGGTTTTTTTTTAATGGGTGAGCGATTTTTTTGAACCCAACATTGAATAAGTCGATGTCACGATATTGCTTATAATACATATTGCAGGATCTTACAATATATGAATTGTCACAATACTTTGTTCTGGAGACAGCGGTAGAGAAAGTAGCCTAGTAGTATGGAACCTTATTCTAGAGAAAAATAGAAAAAAAGGACTTAAATGATATATATAATAAATTTAGTGCTATTTCCAATTTATGAAATGAATTGAAACTATGCCAGTATTAAGTGTATTTCTGAAGAGAAGATAATAATTTGCTACTATCGAGTTGATCTCACGATAGGCCTAGGAGATGGGTATTAGATCTCTTCAATATATACTTTGTTTAAATGATTAATTTGTTTAATAAAAAATACTATAGAACCGGTAAATAGATAGGTCATTTACGATCTTAGTTCGGATCTTTAACAATAACAATTGACGCCAGATAACATAAATTGCTTTGATAAATCCATTAAAATATTCTTGTATATATATATTTTGTACAGTGCTGCCTACACTAAATAATTAAATATAAAAAACAAAATGTAAAGTAGCTTCAAGGGACTTTAGGTAAAAATTTTAAGAGATTTTTTAATTATAATAATTACTTGTACGTACCTAATCAAATATTTTTAGACTCCTTGTGAGTCAACGCAATAATTTACCTTGCTTAAATATCTTTGGTCTCGAATATGATAATACATTTTTTTTGATAAATTAAATCCATAAACAAAATATCTAATCATTATTGACGACACGTTTGACTCAATTTGTGACCAGTGTACGTACTTGCTGTGCCAGCGGTTGCGGGTTCGAGTCATGAGTGTTTATTTTTATAATATGTAAGTATTCGAAGTTACATATACATATACATATATATATATATATATATATATATATATATATATATATATATATATATATATATATATATATAGTGTATCAACTATCTGGTATCCATAACACAACCTTCGTAGCTTACTATGAAACTAGATCGCGCTGTGTGTTAATGTCCCGACATATTTATTATTTAACACTTTATAAGCAAGTAGTAAAGCAATTAATTATTATTTTTTTCATTTCGAGGCGAATTGAAATAATGACGTACTTGGAAAGGTCGCTATATAATTAGCGGCTGGACTAACAAACGCCAAGTGTTCATCGTTTCAACCAACATACTTGAAATTGTTGTATCGATTTGAAACTTAATAAGTATGAGAAGTCCAAATGATTATAATATAATAATTTTCTACAGTAGGGCTAATCTGATGATGGAGCTATAATGGGGATAAGAAAATTGTTCAAGATATCGTTGTACGTATTAAAGGCCAAAAGCTGATTTTCCGGAAAAACTAAACTCCATTCGAATGTCCAAATGAATATATCCTAGGAAAAACTAACTCAACGTATCAAATCATTCTTCTTACTCGAAAGGCATATTCAATAGATTAAAATGAACCTCAACTTACCGACTCCAATTGTTTTTCATCTTCAATAATACATAGATAAGTAGTATCAATCTCTCTTTTTAGTCTTTCAGGAACTAACTTTATTAAATGGACAAATGTGTCTCAAAAATCAAAAATTTCTATTTTCTTATCCATATATCATCTATATATCATATCTTATTAATAAATAATCAATTTCTATTATCTTTTCTCCGGCCCACAACTACTTGTATGTGAAAAGAAAAATCTACAGTCCGTTGCTGCATTAAAGTAGGACTGATGCCTAAGGCAAGCAATGGTAAATGGCTGGCTTGGACCATCCAATGAACATCACAAATCTTTTTCAAGTATATACCAATATAACCTTACATGATCACCACTTGTAAACAAACATCGTGAAGAATCTTGGTGTC